TGCGGTTTTGCAGCTGAGGATGGTGGTTCGGCAAAACCATCGAAACTAGTCCTGTAAAAATTTTGAAAATATAACGCTGATTTTTGTTGTTTGACTTCTGAATTAGTATGAAGTCTCTTGTTAAAATTTTTGTTTTGTTAAAGTTATAATAATTTAAATAATTATAAAATATATACAGCATTTTTCGGCGCAGGTAATGAAACGTATTTTAATTATGCTATGTCAGAAATATAGTCTGAGCCCACCAGAGGTCAAGCGGTAAAGTAGCTGAAAAGTGGTAGTTCGGTCCAGGTTCGCATACTGGCGAACGGGCTAGATGCATAGGGGTTTTCATTGTTTTTCTCATGTGTAACGTGTATAGGAGCCAGTTTCTTTTAGGACGTCCTCTACTAAGGCATCCATTTCCTTAAGCAGATAGCTCTTAAGGCTTTTCCGTAATCACATAAAATCGTACCAAACCAGACATATAGTCTAAAACCCATTCGTTTTAGCACAATAGTATTCAAGAAATTTTTAGGGCATGATTTACAACTGGCGTTCTGATACATTGCATTAAATCAGTGAAGTTACCGTATAAAATGGAACGCACAAACTAACCATCTTTAATATATGCTTAAACTGTATTAAATACCCAACATAGTCTCATTTTAACCTGTGTTAAATAACAAAACACTGGTTCAGTTTTAAGATTTTAGACCTGTGAGTATTTCTTGCGTTAAAGTATAGAAAATATAGGATTGTACCTATCAACATTGAATACTGAAACACTGCTCGATATGTTCCGGTTTGTGTCTTAAATCAGATGCAACTAATTTTACTCTGCAATATTGCACCAGTACGTCATGTTAGATCATCTTCAAAGGAAATATAGAGTTTAAAATCACAGAACTGACCAAAAAAAAAATCTAATATTACAATAAAACTAAAATAATATTCTGAAATGTTCATTTGAAACATGTGCCTTATTTGAATTTTTTTTTATATATTTTAGAGTATTTCTTGCGTTAAAGATTAGAAAATATAGGATTGTACCTATCAACATTGAATACTGCAACACTGCTCGATATGTTCCGGTTTGTGTCTTAAATCAGATGCAACTAATTTTACTCTGCAATATTGCACCAGCACGTCATGTTAGATCATCTTCAAAGGAAACATAGAGTTTAAAATCACAGAACTGACCAAAAAAAATCTAATATTACAATAAAACTAAAATAATATTCTGAAATGTTAATTTGAAACATGTGCCTTATTTGAATTTTTTTTTTATATATTTTAGACGAAGGAAAGTGACCTCAAATATGTATGCTTGCAGAAAAGACGTCATGAACAAAGAGTTATCAGAAGTGTTATAAAGTCTTCTTTTAGGTCGGTACAAACTTGATTACAGCTGCGAATGTAGTAGTAAAAATTATGGAATGTATTTTATGCTTTCTGAATTTCTTCTTAGTCTTCTAATAAATTTCATTCACTATCGCATATTTTTACTAATCATAGGATATCAGACAAACGCAGATCTAAAGTAAACATAAAAGCTTTGTCTTTACCAGTATTCCAGAAAATTTAGTCTAATTTCAATTTTCGTCATTTTCTGACTAAGAGTAATTAGTTCTTTTGTGTTTAAAGTCACATATTCAGTTCATTCAAATCAGCGGTAGCATACCACGTAGAAAATCTTTTAAAAGTTCTCTCTCTTAAAGTTAATGCGTCATGCTCTATTTTATATTCGATCAAACTAACTTCAAACAGTCTGTGAGCTCCGTGAGGAAAAAATACTGTCAACAGTTAAATATTTTAATATGTAATAAAGATGCTATTGTCAAAGTAAACATACCTACAAATAATGATAATTATATATATATTATGTATACAAATGTATTTTTACTTTTATATTTATGGTTTAATTTCTCCGACTATATTGAGTTTTTTAAAATTATGAAATATACTGTTTGTCCTTTATGCAGGTTTAAAATAATAAGCCTCTAATTTTTTCTAACTTACAATAACCGAATTTGAATATACTACCATAATTTATGCAATTATAAATCTGACTAAAATTACTTCATCGGTATAACTGCTTCAATATAGGACTTACTTAATCATTATCTATGTGAATATCTGATATAACTTATTCAGCTCTTTTGTACGAGTAATGTGTATAAACAGGTTAAGATTCATAATTCTTTCCTAGATATAAATTTAGTTTAAAGATTTCCTTCTTTTTTTGCTAATTATAACAAAATAAAAACTTTAGAAACAGCGGATCTCTTTCACATATTTATTTTAAAATCTGTATCGGCGATATTTTTTACTTCTATTAGATTTGACGTAGGCATAAACTTTGGAATTCAAATGAAGACCCCCAAGGAATAGAAATGTATTCTCATAGATTAATTATGAATGCGAAAGAAATATTTTTTTATTTTCGATTGATATGGTTCATTCATTATTCATAACATTGTGATACTCTGTTAGAGAGGAAAAGGTTATTGGGAAATAGAATGCATTAAAAATGCCAGAAAGATGCTTTTAACACAACTGCACCTAATAAAATTTCATTTGCTTTATTTTGCATAAAATAAATTAAATTAAAAAGCAATGCATTAATTATAATTACTTTTTCGTTCTTTATTATTCAAATATTATTTCTTTAAAATACAGGGAATTAGAATTGTCAGTACTGGAAAAATATACCAATACTGATCTGAAATGAGTGAAGCAGAATGTTAAGGAATTGCACAACAGCTTATACTTTTGGAAAGGTGTTTTCAATGATGCTTAATTGATGAAACTTCCTAAATATGACAAAGAAATAAATTAAGAAATTTTCCACAGATTCCAGATCAGGAATATCATCTTCAAAGGAAATATAGAGTTTAAAATCACAGAACTGACCAAAAAAAATCTAATATTACAATAAAACTAAAATAATATTCTGAAATGTTCATTTGAAACATGTGCCTTATTTGAATTTTTTTTTTTATATATTTTAGACGAAGGAAAGTGACCTCAAATATGTATGCTTGCAGAAAAGACGTCAGAACAAAGAGTTATCAGAAGTATTATAAAGTCTTTCTTTTAGGTCGGTACAACTTGATTACAGCTGCGAATGTAGTAGTAAAATTATGGAAGTATTTTTATGCTTTCTGAATTTCTTCTTAGTCTTCTAATAAATTTCATTCACTATCGCATATTTTTACTAATCATAGGATATCAGACAAACGCAGATCTACAGTAAACATAAAAGCTTTGTCTTTACCAGTATTCCAGAAAATTTAGTCTAATACTGTACTAATGCGTACTGTTTCCGAAATATTAATATGAGCATTTTCAGAATTTTTTTTATAAAAAATTTTACTTTACTTCATACTCTGTTGAGCCATCTTATATAATATTTTCAAGAATATGAGAATCAGATAATTAACTTTTTGTGTGTGAATGGGCCAAGAAGATACGTTTTAAGAATATAAAAGAAAAAACGAATAATCTGTCACTCTGTTACCTGTATTCATCAGTGAAAATTTGTGCACTCATGTAGAAGATCTGTATTATTTCAAAGCGAGTTCGATCCTTGTTTAATTTATTACCATTTATGCATAGTAAATGGTAATCAATTTTAAAAAGAACTTTTGGTTATAGCATTTCTCATAAATTGCTGCTGATTGAAATTATCTAATAGAACCGTGCGTTAATTATTATTCCTTTAAATAATAGAAATTGCTCCCAGTACCTCTCTTTAATTTTTCCTGCTTCAAAATAAATCAAGTGAAAGAGATAACATTCAAAATTACATTTTAAAACTATCTGCGCCAATCCTCCAAAAAATCAAAAAGTAGGAGTAAATATAATTTCATATAAATATCGCATTAAAAATAATTTTATACAGATAAGTATTTTTCATTAAAACTTAATTAAAGAAAGGTTTTAGAATATGTTCTAAAAGGAGTGTTAATAAAATTTCAAAATAGAAATCTATATGGCTAGAGAGCTTACTATTTATTTTTTCTGACAATAGTTCTGTCATTATGATCAGTCATGTAGGGGCACTTTAAATATGCTTCTAGCCGAAAGTCCTCTCGAGAGGTTGGAGGTGGGAGGAGTGGAGTGGGAGACCCTCATAGTGCTCAAGGCTTTGCAAACGACAGGCGCAATCTTGCCTCTTTGCTGCGATAAATTTCGTGGGCTTGCCTGATGTCACTGTCAGGCAAGTGAGATAAGTCACAGCAACAGCACAGCAGTCATATTCAGATTTGCTTAAATTTTAAATTACTTTTAGAAATGGAATAGTATTTGATTATTTCAATTGTTTAAAAGTCGAAAATTTAAAAAAAGAAAATCAGCTCTATAACACAGTGTCTTATTTATGTTATTGAAATAAAGAACTGTTTTCCTTTTGAAGCATATTTAACACAAATATATGAACAATAGCACGCCAAATAATGGGCTACTACTGTTGCAACCCAATATAATACTTCCCTTAACACAGCAGGGATACGCTAAATCTATGCTCCTGAAGCTATGGCCTTGCAGTTTACGTACTAAGTGATCTGCGTACTAAATGAGCGAGCAAACAGTCTGCATATAAGAAGATAAGCTTTAAAGCTTAATATAACGTTATGCAGGTGATTTGTACCAGCATTCGGTTTTGTTCAGATCAATATATTAGATGTAACCTGGAAGTTTTGTGAACCGATTTAAAAGCAATTTCATGTAACACTGTTAACATGCGCACAAAATCTGATAATTAAATTGTACGTAAAATATGAAAATATCAAGAAGTCATCAGATACATTATTTTAGTGGTAAGTTTAAAACATTTAATATTCTTTACCTTTTCTTTAATTAAGTCAATTATTCCAAACTTATGATTCCAGGAAAACAACTTTAGTTTATAATGAGTAATACAGTTTTGCTTGTATTGACGAAACTGAATGCGATAGCTTCCGAAGGTGATGTTAATGCTGACAAAAGTAAAGGCCAAATTGACACTAAAATTTCCATTTTTTACATAAAAAATTTTATTTTACATTCGAAATTAAAAACAATACATAGTATGGACATCTATTACTTCAGTAATTACTCCTATACATCAGTTTGTAACATATTCCCTTATGTAGGTTTCGTCCGGAAAATGAAGCTCCATCTCAATGTAGCTAGATTAATGGTTGCATATAGGGGCTATGTAAGTGAGCTATATCATTTAACTAAAACATAAATGTGATTTATTTAAATCATTTACAGAACATTTCTTACTTCAAAGAAAAAATATAGCTTCAAAAACATTTGTTATTAATTTGAATATAAATTGAGACAAAAAAAGTTGACTTTAAAAAATATTTTATTACGCTCAGTAAAATTAATTTGCAGTCAATTTTGCTGTTTTTAATTTTAATCATCAAAATTTTAATTTCGTTCCTCTTCCTCCAATCACTCTGGGCGTTTGTTTTTAAATAAATATTTACAACAGTTGATACAAACATATTCATTGTCATGTTAACTGTCCAAGCGAGGGTTTAATTTCTAGCATTCGAAATCAGATACTGTAAGATTTTTTAAATCTCTTCCAAAAAGGCGTTTTGGATGAGTGCATTGACCAATGATGTCATGAGGTTTATTTTGAGATGTCACAGCCCACAGCAATCTGCAATCACATTTAATTGGATTACCTGCAAAGAAGAATAAAGACACATGGTAGTAAAATATTGCAGGACTAATTAATATTAAACACTGTAACAAGAGTTATAATAAAACATAATTGAAAATTTATAAAAGAACTAAACTTTTTACTCCGTGAAAGTAATAGTCAGCCGTAGAGTCTAATGGCTTTTGTAGAACAAGCAAAATGTTCCAAATAATTTCTCTGTATTCTTCATCTTATATTCGTATTATAACGGTACGAATATATGTAAGATGATGTTCTCTCTATAAAAACTCGTCTGAATGACATATTCGTTTTTCATAAATTGCCTCATATTAATTTATCAAATTAATTGTCAAATTAATTTATCACTTTTGTCTAACTTTGATATGATATTAGGACCATCTAGTAACTTTTAGTATTAAGCATCATTAACATGTCAAATTCATGAACAGTATACAAGGGAGAACGGACTGTCAGACCTGGGCTATTTGAAGCCCTTAACACGGTTATTAATTATCCAAACCCTAGAGGCGATCCAAGGAGTAATAACCCTTCGGTCAACCCAGGAGGAGAAAACTGCACACAGCCGCAGTTCATAGTACGCAAGTCATTGGCGATCGACACTCAGTTACCTACAAAGAGAACGAAGTGCCAGTACGGTCTCTGCCAAACCTGAACCTACCACCGAATGAAACAATGTCTATAGTCACATGAAGACTTATTATGTACCCAGAAACCAATTCTATGTACAGGTTCTAGTCAGAACGCCGGGAGTTGTCCCCCAGTCGGTCCTTGGGGAGAATTTGTTAACGGGCGGTTGAAAGAATAAATTTATAAAACAGTGATATTTGATGAAAAACAAATTTATCACTATCCAGACCTCAACACACACCTGTGATTACTTTATTTTGGAATGCGTTACATTTTGATATGTTATGTTGAATACCTTGAAAAATGTGTTCTTCATTTCAACGATTTTCGTTTTTGAAACAAAATTTAGTCCACACATAATCAGATATGACAAGTAAAGAAATTATTAATAGAAATCATATTTTTCTTTGAAATTAAATCGTGATAATAATTGCAATGCGCGAAACGGCAACAAAAATCCTTATCCGATATCTAATTGAGTCTTTTCTGATCCTCAAAAAACATATAGTCTTTTGCTTCTTGTGGAACGCAAAAGAAAAATTGTTTCTTTTCCCTTCAAGCAAAATGTCTTTGTAAATTTTTCCCATGCAATCAAAAATTTCATCAACATGGTCTTCACTCAAAGCTTCTAAAAGCGAAATTTCTTTCTCCGAGGCGAAGCTTTTGCAACCCATGTATGTTTTTATCATTTTACCTTTGGGCTATAGGAAAAACTCCGCTTTCTTCCTTTTTTTTTTTTTTTTTTTTTTTTTTTTTTTTTTTTTTTTGTAATGATTAGTTAAAAAATTTAGAATTATTATTTACCGTTTGAAAGAAATCTTTTGTTTTTCATTTTTGATGGAAGTCCCATGCTTTTGTCTCGTTCTTTTCTTCAGCCTCAAAACTTTCAACAGGAACTACAGCCAACATAAATTAAAGTGTTGCGACATAGTAATGTAAAATTTCTTGAAACCAGATTTCGAGAATTCCATTTTGCACGTATTATTTCGTAAATTTCTCTCAGTAAAATTTCTTTGACTCAGAATTTCTTCTTGTCCAAAATATTTACTATGATGAAGTTGAAAAATTAGCCATGAGTACAGTACTCGCTGTCAATTACTACTTGCTTGCATCATTTTGAAATCAAATTGTTTGAAATTTTGTTTTTGAGCCCTGAATCCGTTACGCTGATAACACATTTGCACTTCGAAACTGTAACAAAAAAGATTCGACCAAAATGTTACTTGTTATGAATGCGATTGACCTCGAGAGACATTTCACTTTTGAAACTGAACTTGATAATTCCTTTAATCTTGATATTCTAATTATACATAATGAATTTAATTCCTACACTACGGTTTATCGTTATTACTACTGTTTTCGTATAGAAAAAATGTTTGCGATAAACCGTACTATTTATCGCAAACATTCTGCTTGATTGCCTCCGCATGCTAAATCCTTTTATCCTGATAAGTAATAAATTGCTTCTTTTTACTCCTATTTATTTCTTCCTCTTAAAGACTGTTTTTAAGAAATTTCGCTTTCTCATGAATTCAGTTGTTTGAAATCGATTGACATCAACAGAGGATTTTTCTCCTACGTCATCAATAAAGATTTTAAATAATGTTCGTCTTGCCTTCAATTTTACATTCCGCTATTAGAAATAAGAATAATAATCTTTTCATCATTCAATGTATTCTTTAACCAGTTAAAAACACTGCTGATATTCTTCAGAATTTCAAAGTGCGGGTCATTTGTTTCACCTATTAGTACAATTCTTAAAGATCCTGTCTCTGATTTCAAACCTGCAGAAATTTTTAGTGTATCCTGTTAGTGGGGTTTGACATATAATGGGCAAACTAAAATTTTGCATTACGGAACACACAACCTACTCGGAAACGAGAAGCCATGAGTACAGTACTCGCTGACAATAAATAAACTAGTTTTTGATAGCTAATACTATTTGGCCATGTAATTGAATTTTATCTTTGATTCAGCGAAAATTCTTCAGAGAGTGAATTTTTTTAAAATCTTTTCCCATTTACAAACATATTATGATCTTTAGTTAATGGAATTAGATCCAATCACTGCTTCTTAATGCTTTATTATAATATCTCAGGTTTCTAAGTTTAATGGTTTTTTTACTTGATAGATGACGGCACCTTGCTTTTACTTTTTTCCGCCCGTTGTTTTCGATATAAAACGGATTATTACTTCCCACATTTTGCAAAAATATTTTTTTAAACCATGGAGCTGTCTTTGATCGCTTTCAGATCGACTGAGTTTTATTCAAAATCTACGCTGAACTATGTTTTTTTTTTTTTTTTTTTTTTTTTTTTTTTACATAATTAAAACTTTTGTTTTAGCGTCTTTTCTCCTCCAGATGTGAAACTGATTTTAATCATAAGATTTGATTATTGCAGAAAATTATTTTCCAAATCTGCAACTATTTCTCTCACCGAAAGTCCTTGTTTAATCGATCTTCAGTTCCTTTTGATTTGTAGCGGATGGAAGTGTAAACTGGAATAATTTGTTTAATTGGGTTCCTCTTTGATATTTCAGAATTTAAAAAATGGAAAGTTGGGATGATCCTACATCGACTCTGTTGAGCACCTCCATTTTACAATAATAAGTTCCTCAAAAAATCTGTCGCTTCTTGAGTTACACACTGGCTAAATTTATCGCAGAGTAGTCATCAACATGATCTATAGGTTCAGCAATGATTTTCGATAAATACCTTACCTTAATCGATAAATAATAAGGTGCGGATCTGTTAGAGAAAAAAAGAATTCTCTCCCCCCCCTTTGGAAAAACGGCAAGGCCGAATACATTTACAGCTAGAAGATGCTATTTATTTTCATCAAAGGCACAAACAATGTAAAAAGATCAAATACATGAAATAATAATTTAAAAAAATTAACATTTATACAAAATAAATAAATAAATGAAAAACGAAAATCTGAATGCCTTCAGATATTTTTTAAACAAATGCATAAATGATTTTGAAATTCGTGAAGCAATTTTTACAAGATTATATATAATAGGTAAAAACTGCAGTAAAACTATTTAAAAAACTTCCTTGTAAAACGGAAAATTCAAATAGGAAAGTAGACTCAATTTAACTCGGTAGAAAGTAGCGAATAGTCAAGATTGTTTCGATTGGTATGTGATAAAAACAAGTCATTTTCTAAAATACTTATGGATTTAAAATACGTCATGCATCAACCGAACTATCCGAAAAATAAAATGTTATCCTTTCACAACCAAACAACCTAAACTCTCGTGCATTTAAATGCAACACAAAACACCATCTTATGAGAAAATACCGCATTTTCTCCCGAAAACGAAGTTGATTTGCGTAAATAGACAATTAGAAATGTTGTCACGATATTAAGCAGCAATGTTCTTTTTCTTTGAACTGTAGCATGGGAATGATTTAAGGAACGTTTGGTTGCAAGTGTTAACATTATCCGATTATGGTTATTGTGTGAAGATCAATGTTTCTTAGTTAACGAACAAAGTGGTTTCTTGATTGGCCTTTTTTCAATTTGGAAATGAATTCAGTGAAATACGTCTGAAATCTTTTTACAAGTTCGATTTCTAAAGACTGTTCAGATGCATCGACTAATAAATTAATAGATATGTTCAGGAATACTTGGAAGAATTTAAAAAATTCAGAAATCATTTTAACTGATCAATGAAAAATCAACTGATAAATGTGATTGAAAACAGAACATTAAACACCGACACTAAATGCTCCATAAAAATTAAATTGTCTGATCATATATTTATTTCCGTAAATAAAAATGTAATAAATTATACTATTACATCTTGCGTTATTATTACATCTTATTAGGCATCTTGCGTTAAAGAATTAGCTAAACTGTGAATGCAAATACAGGGTACTAGGAAAAATTAAATGTTTCTTCCTAATAAATGCACAAATGATAAAGAACCAAATGCGTCTTAGTACTTTTCAAACTACAGTAAATAAAGTCTAAACTTAAGTTAGCTGAGTAATGGCCAAGAAAAAATTAAGTAATCCTATTGCGACACTTATTGATTTCATAGCTGTAGATCACAAACGAATTCGCAGTATCTCGTAGCATACATTAATTAAATAAAATTGCCTTTATAATACTGAAAATTGAATAGTTAGAACAAGCAAAATTTTGTACGCATTAATGCGTATATAATGACTGATTGATTGGTTAATTAATTTACTATCCAGAATATTGAAACAACTAGGGCATTAATGTACACGCTGTATCGAATATATCAGGGTTTCTTAGATACGAATTTATAATTTCGAGGAAAGGAATTGTCTGGTTTAGCAAACTCAGGTTGGAACAAAATTATAGAAGCAGAAACCACTTTATAGGCACATGAAACCACCTGACCCGAAAGAGCTGAAATTTTTAATTTTGTGCCTCGCACAAGCACAGAGATAAACAATAGAAACATTTATTTATTATGTACTCTAATGTTTTATAGAATAATAAATGTATAGGTAATAACTTTTTATTAAGCATAATACACCTTAAATTTATGTAGACTTTATAAAGTGCAAAAATTAAATATTTGATGTTTTACATATAATTTCGAATGCACTACTGGAATACAAGTAATATTAAGATAAATAACATTCACATATATCTGATGAAAGTGGAGAGATGCCCCAAAATGAGTTGTAAACCTCTAAGTTCATATCTGTTGAAACCTACATTAAATCTCCTAAAACTGTCGATTTCGAAGAACGTGAGTAGCGAACGATTGCTTCATCGCATTTATTGATAACTAGCGGAAGTACCCGATGCCAGTTAAGTTATATTGAGAGTAATGCATCTAACAACATAGAGAACGATACCGCTGTAATCCTTCTCTAATAACGATGCAAAAGATGCGATTCATAATCATACATTTTTCAGCCTGATGCGATATGGAACCCACATAAAGCATTTCGCAATAAAATAAGCTAATTCTCTCTCTTTATATCAGAAACAATGGCATGCAGTTTTTAATGATTTTCGTCTTTCTAATCAAATGGGCGTAAAAGCTTAAGTTCCATCCAATGTTTCACCTCTCTTCAATTTTAGTATAATAAACGTGGCAAAAAGTTATCATAATTGATCGGAAATCAATAACGGGAATAAACAACAAACACAAGCAGACATACGTCTTTATATGTATAGATTTTATAAAGCTTACATATTTGTGATTAGCAAACTCTGCGGTTTGAAAGAGAGCAGTCGGATCACTTTTGGAAATAAAGCATGTTTATCTCCAATGCCCGACACTGTTGCCACTCGGAAAAATGCAAGCGAAAATTAACTCTTTCAGAGTTTTTAATTAGTATTTTGGCTGATTAAAGTCGTATGAAGATGAGAATAGTCGAAATCGATTTTTACGAATTTTTGGAATCGGGAATAATGTATTTAATGTTTGGCAACGCTATTTTTATTTCATCGTAAAACTTAGAAATGTTTTCTTAACAAACTCTAGGGTTTGAAAGCGAGCAGTGGCAACAACTTTCAAAATAAAGCAGATTTTTCATCTCCAGCTTGCGAGACTGTTGCCACTCGGAAAATGAGGGCGAAAATGATCGTTTTTCCGAGTTTTTAATTCATATCTCTGATTTTAGCTACTTTTGTGTTGGAAAAAAGTGAATGTCGACCTTTTACAGGAACCAGAAAAGAATTTGTAGGAAGTTTGGTGACAATAGCTATAGTAGTGACTGAGTTATTAAAGGACAACCAAACACACAGAATTTCTTCTTTATATACATAGAGAGAGAGATTATGCCATATTGCGTTGTGGTCATATAGCAATCAATGATTTGACTGAAATTCAAACGATGCTTCTTCCATAAAGCAAGAAAACTTTTGCTTGCACGTCTTTAAGAAAATATTGTACTAGTACAATTTCATAAAAAGTATACATTCATGGTAACACTGGGATTAGAAATCTCATAAAACGGTAATTTCATGTTCAGTGAAATCAATTCCAATTCCTTTTTTGTGATCCTTATAAATAACCAGACATCGTACAGGAAAAATTACATATTGAGGTGCTTGGGGTTCTACTGAAATTTTTGTTTAAGTAAAATGACTGCGTTAGGAAGCCAATTTAGATGAAACGAAAGCAATCTGGTTTATGCAAAATAGTATTTAACAGCTGTAAATTTATTTCGTTAGTAATAATTAGTCAATAGTTATTCCACTATTTTATAGTCCTATTGCTTTTTTTTATATTTTATGGCTTACTATGCTCTACGGTGAATTGTTTTAGTGTAGTCAAAAATTAAAATAGATACCAATTTCTGAAGGACATTTGTTTTTTTTTAATATTTTTATTAAGTATTTGAGTTTGTTTCCGCATTCTCAAAATTGTATTTGCTTAAAAGTAAAAGCATTCGTCAGTATTTATCTAGCACAAATATACATGCCAAAAATGCAAACAAAGTATCACGGAAATGTGATTAAAGATGTTTTAGTCATAAACAATACAATTTTATGGATTTAAAAGCTGTATAATGGGCGCAGTTAAAAAAGAATTTAGATTTTACGTATTTTCTTCTGTTATTTATTAATTTAAATATGCGCACTTTAAAATATAAGTGTGAAATAATTTTTCATTAATAAAATATCTCACTCAGAAATACTTTTCTTAATAAAAATAATTACCTCTTAAATCCAAATACATGCTAGGCTTCCAAAGTGAGCTAAATACCTGTTGAGGCAATGATGAAATTGAATTGTTGCTGAGACTCACCCATTTTAATTGGGGCATACCATTAAATACACCGGCTGGTAAAGTGTGAATTTTATTGTGGCTGAAAAGGAATGGAAAAGAATCATGTTGCATTGCATAAATAAACACATCTAAAATTATAAAGCTATATAGAATTAAAGTGATTCATACTCATACAATCATTGAAATAATCCTAAACATAGAATTTAAAGCTATGGAAAAGTTCTGGTGTTTTTATTGAAACGTTTTACTATACGTTTCCATCAACTAAAGAGCACTTATATTCCCAATTAAAGCTGGAAATATATGTGCTTTAAACGAGGCAGCAGCTTTTTGATATAGTGCACCGTCTATTTGTATGCATCTCTTTCTGGCGCAAGTTATCGCTGTACTCATGGATATGAATACTTAAGAGCACATTAGTAAATTTACATTCAAGCTGGTTTGAATATAGCTTGAATGTAATAACCCGATTACCGGCAGCCTCTCTCAAATAATCAAAACTATAAATAATAATATGATGCAATAACCTGACAGTAAATCTAATAAACTTACTAAGAGATTTTTGAAGGCTGTAAGAAACAGTGTATCCAATGTCTGCGAAACACCGAAAGAACTATCTTAAGAAGATATTTTATGCGGATTAAGAGGAAAAACTTTAATTAAATTAAAATCGCATTGTTAAAAATTTAATGTAAGACACGTTTTTTGATTTTACAAATAAAATGCTTTTTGATTTTAATAAATAAAATGCTTTTTGTTTTTTGATTTTACAAATAAAAGGCCAAAAATTGTATAAATGACAAAAATAATGCCAAAAATGCCAAAAAATTGTATATATGACATTTACAATTCCAAAATGGCGTGAAATTTAGGCTCCAAAATGTTAATAAATGCAGAAAGCAACTCTGAGATCCTTGGTATAAATGGTAATTTGAAGCAAAAACAATTAATCCAAACAAATATAAAATTATCCGGTAAAATTTGTATAAAGCTGATGAATTCCTAAGAGATTTTTTAACAAGAGATCGAAAGAGAGCTTTATTTTTAAGTTACTGATGTTGCTTACTAACTACTAAAGCTCGATAATTCAAAGATTTGATTAAACATCTTTACACAAGAATTACCAAAAACAGCTAGCGAAATTTTAGGAAGTATATCTTCTTAATATGCACTGTTTTATATGTTCAAAACTAATTTAGAGAAAAGTATTCCAGAGATATTTATAGTTCTGATTATTTGAGAGAGGCTGCCGGTATCAATAGCAAATGCAGAAATGAGGTTGTGAAAATTAGAATTTATAAAGTCATCCTCTTGCTCTATTATGGCTCAACAGAACTCGCAGGTGTAGAAAAAATATCTAAAAGTATGCATTTACATCTGCAAAAGATATCGATGAATTCATTTAAAACTTCGCTAAAACTCAAAAATTCCTTTAGGCGATATTTCCATGCGTATACATATTTAAAAGTATATTGCGTAAATTTGACATAACCCTTACAGACAGAGAATAGGGGATTTAAATTTTCCTTGCCTTTCTATGCCGGATATATTTGTGCGTCTCTGTATTACAGGTAGTGAGTTAAATGCAAAGAAAACTGGATACAGTAATAAATAAAATTAAGTAAATCGACAAAAACGTTATTGAAATAGCAAATTTGAATCAAATGCACTGAATGTATGGTGTTGGTGTTGGTGTATTGAGAATACGGCAAAGCACACTAGGGCTATCTGCCTAAGGGGAGGGATGCCTTTTCGTGGAGGACTTTCTAAGGGAAACTGGCTCGTATACACGACACATGGGGAAAACCACGAAAACGCCCATGCAGCCAGCCCGTTCGCGGGATTCGAACCTCGGACCGAACTACCAGTGTTCAGCGATTTTACCGCTCGGCCGTTGGTGGGCCCTGCACTGAATGTATGACGCTCCTTTCTTTATAAATTCACTGGTAATTTATTTATTTGCATTCTACTCATCTAAAAAAAGAAAACCATGAGGGAAATCTCAGTATATTAAGGATAAAAAAGGAGGTCGGTATAAGTTGAACAACGTTCAAGTTACACGAATTTTACCAGGTGCAAGATAAGATTAATAAAGGTCAACAACACTAAGCATTAAAATATTAATATATAAATTACAGTCATTTTACCACTGGGTTCTAGAAAGTAAAAATGATGCTTTTGTCCAATTAAAATATTGAGCCCAGAATGAATCATTTATTCACAAAATCAAATAATTGTTTTCTGTCCTTTTTGCTTGAAACCCGTTTGTGGCAAGAGCAAGTTTTTGCAGAAAACAGTTGCTTTGGAGTAGTATTTAAACCTCTGTTAAATAGGGTATTCAAATCTAACTTAGCTCTAGTTGAATAAAAAAGATAATAGCAAAAACAAAATATGTAAAACATTTAAAATGAAAAATCACGAAAAGTGAGTTTATGATCTAAGAACGTCCTACAATGCTACACAGAAATGTCGCTTTGAACCGTGCGTGCTGTCCTGATATAAATGGTTAATCATACCCAGTTAACAAATAGAAAGATCCATATTAGCAAAATAAGCAAAATATTTTTAACTATTAAATTCAAAATTAAAACCACAACATCCTGATCGAGTTTTTTCTCTAACACTCGTACATTTATGTGATCTAAGCTTTGTTCAATAATGGTAGTGTTGGTAGTACTTTGTAGTGGTGGTACAAATTTAATTTTTGTTTAGATGGTTTAGTCAACAGGTTGAGAACTGCTGACGTAAACCATGTTCAGAGTTGTATTTCAAGTATCAATTCAAGAGAAATGCGTATACCTCACATTAATTAAATTTCGTAATGAATTACATTGAAATATAAGTGCTTGGTATTAGCCAGCAGGGTTTTGATATGGTGCCCCGTCTATCCGTATGCATCTCTTTCGGACTCAAGTCATCGCGGTATTGATGGATTTGAATGCTGAAAAGAACATAAGTAAATTTACACTCAAACTAGTCAACGGTTCCAATGGAGGTTTAATGATCTCTACGATGTAATACAGAGTTATTAATAATTTATAGCTTTTATGTTAAGAGAAAGGTGATGCCTAGATTTTTTTAAATAGGTTAAATGAGCATTTATTTTGATGTTGTCTATTACTTTAATTAAAAAATTTTTCTTCATACAATATTAACTATATATGTTATTTTGAACAGCTTAAGATATTTTTCTCTGCAGTATTTCATTTATTGACCTCTGGATATCTCTTAAGCATTCTAAGTCAACTTGGGAGACAAACGTTTCACGCTTCATCCGTCTCTCTGCCATGCACTTCCCCAAGAAAGCTCTGGAGTTTTTACATCAGTAGTCTTTATGGCATTACTTCATTGACACTGACACCTCGTGTTTTGCGCAATATTCGGCACATAAATTGTCAAACTAATATTCATATTATTCCTATTTGTCGCTATTTGGATGATGTATGTGCTGAATCTTCCGTGAATAATAAGCGATTAAGCTAAAAATGTGGTCTGTGCAAAAATACATTCCTTACAAATGTTGATGTAAAACAGCCTTTTACGAAATATTGGCTCAGATTATGGGATCACATTTCACAGCTAACACTAAAAGAGAAAACAGTTCTCGTTAAGATGAAGAAAAATATAATTCAATTTTTGGATTGATATATAATTTGTGTTGAATAAAAGCAAGATACTAGACAAAGCTAACAATTTAATGATGATGATGGAATCCTTTATTATTAAAATTCTTTATTCTAGCAAATGTTGTTATAAAGCTATAACCACGGTTAAAAAGAAATGAAAATATTCCTTGTCGTAAGAAGAAAGATCATCATCCTAGATCTGTACCCAAGGCAGAGCTAAGAGGTAATGAAGAAATTTTTACTCATCATAAGTTTTCTCTTCTAAGCTAATGAGATATTGTTTAACTGGTAGTAATTACAGATGCATCTGAACAGTCTACCAAGACAGGAAAATCACTGCTCTGTTCTTCAAGAAAATAGAACTTTGCTCCATATTATAAACAACTTTTGCGCAAATGATCTACAGGATTCTGATTCGCACTGCTGATGAAGCAACTGCATGCATTGTCAGAGTAGGAGAAAAAAACTAAATTTATCAAATATAAATGCCTGCTGCTTAAAGCTATCTTATATGGATTTCTCATGGCTACAAATATATACAAAATATGTATTAACGCGAAATCCCAATTATGATAGTTAAAAAATTCGAGGAGAATACTGGAATTCAAAATGTAATTCCATTTTAATTTCTTGAACGTCTTTGCACTAATGAAGGTTTACCTATTTATAAAACTGAAACGTTAAGTATTTGTATGTTAGAATAATGACATTCAGATCGCTACCCTTTAAATTCCAAAGATTCTGTTATGAACAAACACATTGTCTTAACGATTCCCGATGTTTGAAATAGGCGAACGGATGCCTTGGGCATTATCCCGTTATCTTTCCCAAATTCCCGAAATTCAAGTTTTCGGATAAGAAACACCCCACAAATAATTATTAGTTATATAAAAATTCCCATAAGAATTTGCAAGAGCTACTGAAAACGTGAATTGAATTGATGTTTTTTCTGACAGTGAAGCTCCTTATCAAGTATTCTACTTGACAAAGAACAACAATACGTGAAGTTACATGTTATAAGAGGTACAGTTCCTGATCATTCCGCATTAATGATTGAAAAAAACAGTATTATGAGAGAAGACAAAAACATTCGAAGAAAAATGTAAATTAGGTTTAAAGTAGAAGAACATAGGAGAACTCTCAAAATTTTATAATATAACTTAAGTGTTAATATATATCAATGTATATATTTTAAAACACAAGCAAGTACAAACATGTATATACACACAGCACAAACATATAAGCACAAACATGTATATACATTAAAACGCAAAATTTAATGTATCAAACTACCCAAAGAGGCTAAATATCAGTTGCATAGATTTTCTTTCAAATACGAATTTAACATAAAAAAATAACTTACGTTGTCTCTTAAATTCGGGGAGTTTAGCACTTCGATTGATACAGAAATTATGTCAAAATGTTTTTAAAAATAAAGATATAAAAAAAATAA